GCAGGAGGAGAGAGAGAGAAAGAGAGAGAGGTTGAAGAACAGCGGGAGGGGGCAGTTGTCCCCAGTAAGGGTGGTTGGGTGGAGAGAGAATGGCGGGATATAGAACGACGGCCTCGAAGAACCCGACGATGGCTCGTCGGAGTCCTCCGCGGCGCTCCCGCCCCCGTTGCTGCTGTCGCTGCTGCTCCCCGAGTCGGACGAGCTGGACGAAGAAATGGTGGCAAGATGCTCCGCCAACAGCCCTAGCACGGGTGAGTCTGGCCGCCCGCGTTGCCAGACGCCGACCGCCACGTCAGCAGGTGGGCAAGCGGCATCGATCTCCTCGTGGGAAAGCAGAGGGAGATTCTCAGGCTCTATGAGCTTGTGGCCCCTCGCCCGCTTGGTGTAGCCTTCGCCCACAAGGCACCATAGCTTCAAGCGGCGAAGCACCTCGTCTTCATCCTCGGGTTGGAAGTGGCGCCTCTTGGTGCAAGCTGTCGTGCGGGCGTCGCCCCTGGCGTGGTGGAATCGGCACGTGACTAAATACATAGGTCCGTAATCATCCACACAACGGCATATGCGGAACGGGCCCCACTTCCCGCTCGCAGGGTGCGCAGGCGCAGGCAGCCGCGGACCGCGTTGCAGCGGCTCCGCGCGTGGCGGGGGCGACGGCGGTGGCGGCGGCGACCCTGGGGGTTCGCTGCCACCGCGCGGCGGTGGCGTCGGAGACCGCGACGGGGCTCGTGGCCCCGACGGTGACGGCATTGGCGACCGCGGTGGGGGATCTGGATGTGGCCCAGGGGGTTCGCACGGCGAAGGTGGCGACAGCTCGGGCGACATTGCCCAGGATGGCGCTGGCGAGGGCTCTCGCCCAGCGCTTGGGGGATGGGGAACGGGCGGCGGCGAGGTCGAAGGCGCTGGCCCTGACGGTTCGGGTTCAGGCTGAGGCGTCCCAGGCATGCCATCAGGCGTGGCAGTGCCGCCAATGGGCGTGGCAGTGCCGCCAATAGGCGTTGTTGCGCCCCCATGGCCCCCACGGTCGCTCTCGATGGAACCCATGGCGTCTGAGTCGTGGCCGTCGCCCTCGATGGGGGGGCGATCCGCCGCATCGCCCTCGATGGCGAGAGGCATCTGGTGCATCGCCTTGGCCTCGCCTCTCCGCCGCCGCTTCCGAGGGCGCCCGAGGCAAATGTAGCAAACAATGCGACGCGGCACAGCGGCAGAGCACCGCGGGCGCACGCTGGGCGCTGGGCTGGGCGGCACCTGGTGCACTCTTGCACACGTTCGGCACTTGGCTGGCACAAGGCGCACCTATCTCACCCCCCCTCATTCCGCCCCCCCTCCTCCGCGCCACCCGCCTCCCGCGCCCACTAATATGTTCTTCTCCCCCTCCCTCTTCCCCCATCCGCCATCCCACCCCTTCCCACCCCTCCACCGTTCCTTCGCTGCCGTCACCCGCGCCCCCGCGCTGCCCGCCCGCCCCCACTCCCTCCCTTCCTTTCTCCCGCCCACACACACCCCGCCCTGCGCTGCGCGCTGCGGTACTCTGCACTGTTGCGCGCACGACGCATTTTTTGCCCATGTCTTGTCGCCGCCAGCCGTGCCCGCATCATCCTCGATAGCTAGCTTCTCACCACCACCAAGAGCGTCATAATATTTAGCCGTGCCCACGTGAGATACTACCGCATCCCCCGACAGTAGACAACGCATGTATGCTGTGCCAACCGATTCAGCTCCTCTCCGATAGTACCAAACCCGATCAGCATTCGGATCCCCTGGGTCGAACGGGGCAGGCAATGAATCGTGCCCCTTGACCTTGGCGGGTAGAAGCTTGCCCGTCCAACCCTGCTCTCGCAATTTGTACATCAATTCCCATGCCGTCGCATCTCCGTCCGCGATGCCCTCGCGCGGCCTGAGAGCGGGCCGCGGCGCCGTGAGCACGTCGAATGCCCCCAGGTCGGCCATCGCATTTTCGGTCAGACGCCATGCTTCCACGGTCCCGCCGAAGGCCGCGGCAACACGCACGTCGTCACGGATGGCGTAACCTACCTCCTCGAACGTGCGCACGATGTTTCTGTCAAGGGCCGCGTCGCCACCCTCGCCCAGCATGTATGCAGTGTCGGAACCAGGAATGCCACCGCAGTTCACCATGTCAGTCAACTGGTACGCCGCCCGACCGTGCGTAGCAGGGTCCACGCCAGGAGGCCAGCCATGATTGGGCATGTAGAGCATCTCGCCTGTGGGCTGCCACTCCTGTCTGGGCGCCCGAAATGGATGCGGAAAGAATGCGCGCAACGCCAAACAACAGATGTCGTCCCAAACCAGCAGCGGCCGCTGTTAGTCAGGCTGCCTTCTGTCTCACATGGGCACAGGCCGCGGCGGCACCGACAGCGAGCCCTGTTCAAACTGAACGGGAACTGTTGTTGGGCATGCTATACACCCTTTCCGTGTCCAGTTCGTCCGTGCCGATCCTGGAATGACTCCTGGAGGTCATGCACGTTCTCGAGATGCCGCCTACTCAAGATGCGGGTGCTGCCCTCGAACACGCCACCGTCAGTATCATGGACGCCCTGCGAGGCCACCAGGAGCGACGGCTGCCCGTCATGGTCGTGCGCACCACGAATGTCATGAGTCGAGATGGCGACGTCGTCGCGGCCCAAGTTGCAACCAGGCGGTCTGACTAGCTTCCGAGAGTTCGGGTTTAGACGAACGACCTTGAAAGCAGTGCGTTGTTGCAGGGGTACGTCGCGCTCCTTGATGGCTGCAAGGACGTCGTCGGGACCGTCGGGGAGCTCGGGGCGGTCCGCGGCGGCGGGCATGAGTGCAGGCGCCGTGTACATCGCGTCTGTGAGGGGCAGGAGTTGCGGCAGAGATAGATCTCGAACGCCAGACAGGGCGTCCGCCAGCAAAGGCATTTCCACTGGTCGGGCGCCGATGGTGTAGTAGGACGACGCGTTCGCGACTTTACGGAAATGCTGCAAGGCGTGCGAAGAAACCAGCCTCCACGCGAAACACAACCCCGTGCACACTCCCACGCAACTTACGCAACACGTGCGAGGCCAGGCCACATGTCTCAGACACCCCGTCCGCCGTCCGCCGTCCGCGAGCAACGCTTCCCCTCCTCCGCAGCCTCCCCCTCCTCCTCCTCGGGGCCCTCGGGGGAGGGGGGGGGGATTGGGGAGGGGTGGAGAAGATGAGGCGGAGGACGATGTGGAAGATGAGGGAGGCAGCGGCAGGGCGGAGGACATATTCCATGGAGGAGGCTCGGAGGAGGCACGGAGGAGGTGGAAGAGGGCGGGGGGGGGAGGAGGAGGAGGAGGGAAGGCCCTGACGGGGATAACTTATAAGGAAGTCTCGAGCGGGAATTCAAAAGAAGTAGCTTCCAACTGTTGCTTCGTTTGAGTAGATTACGAGGAAGTCTCGAGCATCGAGCAGGAGCTGCGCTGCGCGGAGGATGAGATGAAGGCGGAGGTTGTGGAGGAGAACGCGAAGGGAGGATGCCCAGGGCGAGGTGGAAGATGTTTCGGAGGAGTCACGCGGGAGTGATGGAAGAGGAGGTGGAGGATGGGGTGGAGGAGGAGGCGGGGGATGGAGGATGGAGGAAGGGGTGGAGGAAAATGCGGGGGATGTGGTGGAGGATGGTTCGGAGGAGGCGGTATGGAGGAGTAGGGGTGGAAGAGGAGGTGGAGGATGAGGTGGAGGATGCGAGGATGCTCGAGGATGTGTTGGATGAGGTGGAGGATGGCATCGATGGCTCGGTGGAGGAATGGAGGAGGGAATGAGGTGGAGGATGGTTCGGGTGAAGCATGGGGGAGGGATGAGGTGGAGGAGGAAGCGGGGATGGATGGGGGGTGGGATGTGGAGGAAGACGCGGAGGATGAGGTGGAGGATGGCTCGGAGGAGGTATGGAGGAGGGGTAGGAGAGGAAGTGGAGGATGAGATGGAGGCGGAGGTGGAGGATGGAGGGGGATGCGGAGGAGGATGTGGAGGATGAGGTGGAGGATGGCTCGGTTGAGGCATGAGGGAAGGATGGAAGATGAGGAGGAGAAGGAGGCGTGGCATGGATGGAGGAGGAGGTGGAGGAACATGCGGGGGATTAGTGGAGGATGGCTCGGAGAAGGTATGGAGGAGGGGTGAAAGAGGAGGTGGAGGCATGGAGGAGGATGTGTAGGATTAGGTGGAGGATGGCTCGGTGGAGGCATGGAGGAGGGTGGAGGAGGAGGTGGGGGACGAGGTGGAAGAGGACGCGGGGGATGGGGAGTGAGGTGGAGGATGGCTCGGGGGGGGCATGTCGGAGGGATGGAAAAGGACTGAAAAGGAGGTGGAGGATGAGGGGGAGGAGCAGGTGGAGTATAGAGGAGGCTGTGGAGGATGATGTGGAGGATGAAGAGGGAGGTGTTGGATGGAGGTGGAGGATGGAAGTGCCTCTCCCCATCGTCTCTCCTCCTCCTCGCCTCTCTTCTCTCCCTCTTCCGTCATCCTTGTCCTCTATCCTCCTGCTCCTCGGCCTCTTCTCCCCTCCCATTCCTGCTCCTCGTTCCTCCTCCTCCCATCCGGCCCGCCGGAGCATTCCCCCCACCCCCCGCCCCCTGACCCTGGCGCAACCTCCAGACAGAGATACCGCAGCGGCCCAGCGTCAAGACGGCGAGACGCGAAAGGGCCTGAAGGCTTCCCTGAATGCGGCGGCGGGCGGGGGGGCGGAGGGGGGAGGGCCCGATGAGGGATGTGACATTGCTGCGGTGCTGCTGCGGCAGACGGCGGACGACCCCCTTTCCCCGAGTTTTGGCTGACCGTTTAACTTAGTTTCCTGCCCAGCTTGCTCAGTGGCTGGGCGGGGCCTGGATACGACACGTGGCGCCACCACGGTTGCATGCGAAGTGCACGGGGTTGTTTTCACTGGCCCACGGTGCCTGCAACCGTGGTTGGGTGACTCATCCTTGCTCAAAGAAATGCCCTTGGCCGCTGGAGGCACAGCACGCTCGAGAACAACGCGGCGTCGGTGTTGAATCGACGGGTCCATCCTGTAGAAAACAGTGGCCAACAACTCCCTGGTGAAGGCGCCGTTCCTGGCTGCTGCTGCCGTCAACGTGTGGTGGCCTTGCAGGTCGAACATGCGGGCGATCTTCTCGGGTGACTTTCGGACTTCCCCGACCGTGGTGGCAAGGCGCAGGAACATCTGTGGGTCGTACTTGAGTTGTCGAACCATGCCTGGGAGCTTCAACATCACGTTAACGAAGGCCCCGCCTGCGCGCGGGGCCCTCGACGTGTTCAGCTTGTTGTGTCGGTGGCGGCTCTCGATGGGGCGCTCGCAGATCGGGTCGCACTGCATGGAGCCAGCCATCCGCTTCAAGTTGGGCAGGTCGTCGAGGGGCGCCCCGCCGATGAAGCTCTGCACCTCGCCCCAGGACGGAGATGACGGGTCGCAGACCTGGGCGACGAGTGGCCAAAGACCATGGCGCTGCTCGTCCGTGAGCGCCGCGTACATGTCGATGCAAGAGCGCACGGCGTCCCTGGCTGGGTCCTGGCATGACCCCGCAGCAGAAGTGCACCCCAGCGCACATAGCCGATGTGGAAGGCGCGTCCAATGGCCGAGCTTTGATTCCATCACTTCCATTAGTGCTGTCCTGCATCGTTCGAACTCTCGCACGACCATTGTTCTGTCGGCTGGCTGAAGCGCCGCTGTCCGCATGACGAGCGCACCGAGCGACTGCCCCGCGAGCTCCCGCAACAAATGCATCGCCTTCCCCGCCGCGACCTCGGGGGCGCGGCGCCCGCGCAAGGGGCACGGGGCATGCCGCGCGCCCGTCTCCGTCCCGTAGTCACTCCGTCTGGCGAAATACGGACGGGCAGCGCTGAAGCCTGGCTTGTACCTGAAGTCGGTATCATGGCAGACGCAGCTCTCGCACCAGTTCTGGAACTCGAACAGGATCCCGTGTGTAACCAGGAGGATCATGTGCCCGTGCGCCCAGAAGGCAGGACTGTTGATCGCCTCGTTGACGAGCTTCAGCTCTTCTCTACTGTCTGGAGCAGCCGTCTCCGCCCTGGCCCTCTGCGGGTCTGCCTCGGCACCCCCGCCGCCGCCGCCGACGTCCAGCGCCCCAGACCGAGAGTTGTAGGAGGCGAGATCCCAGTAGTGTCGGAGACCCACCTCGCAGCACTGGAGCTGGACCAAGGCTGGTATCCAAGACCCGAAGCGCCATTCGGTTGGTTTGGTCGTGACGGCCTTGATGCTGGCGTGGTGCTGACGTGCGCCCTCCGAGGAAAAACACCGCTCAAGGAGCCGATTCCTCGTCCACTCGTCCGCGAGCAATTTCACAAGGGGCTTGCATCTATCAATATACCACTGCTCGTGCTCTAGCGCCTTGATCACATCGTTGAGCCCGTTGTTGCAGATGTGGAGGACGCCTGCGACTTGCAGCGAGGAGGCCAAAAAACCTTTCGCAGCGGCCCGCTCCTCGTCTGCGGCAGAAGGTCGGCGCGGCGGCGGTGGAGGAGGGGCAGGGGGCTCGGCGGCGGCCCCGTTGTCCTCTGCAAAGTCGAAGGCAATCGGTTCGGGTGAACAGTTGCCCCGTTGGCTGGCTTGCAGGCCACCAGCCATGCCGTTGTCGTCTGCTGCGTCCATGTTGCCGCCGTCTGGGGAGCCAGCTGTTGCTCGGGCGCCGCCGTCGTCTTCCTCGAAGTCCATCTCGTCTGCGAACATGGCGTCGGCTGCGGGGGGGGCAGCGGCGCCGTCGTCGTCCGCGATGCCCGCGAGGTCGGGCGCCGCCGCGGCGGCGCTCTGGGTGCCAGCTGGAGCAGCAGGGGCAGCGCGACCGTCATCATCTTCAGCGCGGACGTCCAGCCAGTGGGGGAAGGCTTGCGACAGATCTGCTGGGAGGGCGCTGTGCAAAGCAGACTCCGTGCCAAGGTCTGAGCAGAACGCCAGGACGCGCTGGCTGCGCATCTGCGCCTCCGCCATAGAGGGCGACGCAAGGCGAAACTGGTGGATCAGAGCGTGGAGTTTGTCGCCTGCCTTTGTCGCCTGGGACCCCATCCCGAGCGCCGTGAACTGGTGGTGAGTGAAAAGTTTGTGCAGTTCCCTCGTCAAGCTCTGGTATCGGCGAGACGCCTCCGCCCGCGAGTCTGGCACATATTCGGCATCGTAGTCGTCGTCCTGCTCAAGGCCCCCGCTGCCGTGGCCGTGGGCAAAATCAACAGCGTCCTGCCTGACGCGTTGAAGCTCCCTGCACAAGTCGTACACCCGCACGGCGTCCGCGCACTTGAAAGACTCTGTCATCTGCCAATCGACGCCGAGTAGTGGGCTGCTGTCGCTCAGCACGCATTCGACCGAAGGGGCGTCCGAAGTCAGGCCAATGCGAGTTTGGTGTTGCTCCTCCTTGCACAAAGCGGCGTCGAGGGTGAAGAAGTAGCCCTGCACGGTTTGTCGGACAGGCATGCCGCCGCTGTGCTGGAGCGACTCCAGCAGCGGCTCGCCCAGCTTCCCTGGGAGGACAATCTTGATAGCATCTCTGAGCGTGCTGGTCAAGTGCTCGGCCCCGTGCAGGTGTGATGACAACAGTATCGTGTTGATGACGGTCTCCGCGGCCATCCTGACGCGCTTGCGCACGCCAGAGAAGGTGGGGTTCCCACGTAGGCTGTCCGAGACATCGGTCAAGTAATGGACGGCTTCTGCAACGGCAGCATGGCGATGCTGCTGGGCGGCGTCTGGCAGCGTCCGGTAACAGTCGAGGAGGGCGGCGGCCACCATGTCCACGGACGAAGCCGTCAGGCGGGCAACGCCTCGCGGCACGATGGGGTTGTCTCCCACCGCGGCCGCGGCCAGGTCGAGGCCGAAGGTGGCGTCGAAAGCACGGTCGGCCTGGCGGCTGCGCCTCGACAGCCGCGTGGCCGACGGCCACATGTACACTGAGCGGAAGATACCACGTGTGATCAGCTGCACCATCGGGACTCTGGGGATGTACGCGTACTGCGGCCCCTGCACGGCGTAGCCCTTGTCCCTCCACGAAGCAAGTACGTCTCGAACCTGTGGGGCACTGTGATTGAAACGCTGGGAGAAAACCGCCGCCCACCTGCGTGCAACTTAACCCTAAAACCCCTCCGCCAGAGCGGCGGCGGAGGGGGGGGTGAGGGGCGGGTGGGGGGGAGGAAGGAGGGGGGGGAGTAGGGCGAGGGCGCAGGGGGGGAGGAGGGGAAAAAGGAGGAGGAGGGAGGCAGGAAGGGAGGAGGAGGGAGGGGGGGGGGATATGAACACTGAGGCTTGTATAACCGAAACGGTGAACATGTTGGTTAACACGAGACGAACACGAACACGGGCACGAACACGGGCGCGGCGGTCTGACTACGCCACCATAACAAATGATGCATTTAACATGCCACAGGGCTTGTCGGCCACCGTTCGGGCCATGTTCCCACGCAGAGGGGAGACGAGGGGGAGAGGAAGGGAGGGGGGAGGGAGGGGGGGAGGGAGGAGGGAGGGAGGAGGGAGGGAAGGAGGGACGATGGTGTGATGATGGCGTGGTGGATGGATGCAGGCGGGCGGAAGTCTACTCCAGAAGCGCGTTTCCACGCAGTGCCCGAGACCTCGGGTAGCCCACAGAATCGCTCAAGGACCTGCTGGCCGATGAGCTTGAACGGGGTCCGTGACTCGAACTCGGCGCTGCGCAGCGCCCGCAGCGCCCCGTTCAAGTCGCGGTCGGCGACGGCCGACTGCGAAGGGCCCACGGCGTGGACCTCCAGAACCCTGCTGCGGAAGAGGCGGCCTCGCCCCCCCTCCGCTCGCAGGGCGGCCCGCACCTCGGGGTCCCCGAGGTCGATTGCCTCCACGGGCAGCGCGGGCTTCCCCAGGAGAACGAGGGCGACCGCACGGTCCAGGTCGCCCACGTCGGCCGTGGGGACCTGCAGACCTCGGCCGATTACAATAAAATGGGAAATCAGTTTCGGGATTCGGTCAAATGGGAAATCAGTTTCGGGATTCGGTCTTGAGGCAGGGCGGGGGTTCTGAACCCCCGCGACCCTGCTCCAGGGCCCAAGCGAGGTCAGCCTCGGCGACGAGGCCGCAGTCCCTCGACCAGTTCTTCAAGCGAACTGGCCGAGAGACGAGAATGATGGCCTCTGCCATCGCCGCCCGCCTGGGGATGGGGGAACGGGAAGGGGGTGGAACGGGAGGGCGACGGAGGGAATGGTTTGGGATGGGATGGGATGGTTTGGGATGGGATGGGATGGAAGGCGGGATGGGAGAGGGGAGGGGATGGGAGGAGATGCCATCTCCGAGATGGGATGGGATAGGAGGGGATGGGATGAGAAGAGCAACGGGCGGGATTGGAGGGGATGGGATTGGAATGTGAGGGAGTGGTTAGGGTACGGGGGGTGGGATGGGGATGAGGGGGATGATGGGATGGGGAGGCGAAGAGGAAGAGAGGGCTCCTGCCCCTCAAGTCCCTGCGGCCGCCTGCGGCCCGTCCCACTGTGGGGGCACTGGCCCAATGCCATTTGGCACGGAACCCTTAGATAAGGAATTCAGGGTCTGGTCTAAGTGTAATTCCAATCGTGGCGGGTCGGCCGCCGATATCACCGCCGCCCTCTTCAGATCGAGAAGCCTGCAGGGTCTGCAGTCTGCAGCCTGGTCGGACCCAAACTCAAAACTGTGAAAACCATTATGTTTTCGAAGAGCCGTGAACCCCACAGCGCCTGTGAACATCAAAGCGCTTGTGAACACACTGTGCTCACAGGCGCTTTGATGTTCACAGGCGCTGTGTTCAACACAGCGCCTGCAAACGCAAGGGCACGGAACCCTTCGATAAGGAATCCAGGGTCTGGAAGCATGTGGAATTCCAATCGTGGCGGCCTGCAGCCTCTTGGGCACATTCTTTAACGACCGCCCCCACCGTAATTCCCGTTCCCCGCCGCCCTTCCTCTCCCTCCCCCGTTCCACCACCCCCCATTCCCGTTCCTTCCCGTCCCCCCGTTTCCCATTCCCCATCGTCCCTCCTCACTCCCCTCTGACTCCCTCGCGGGCGCCGCGGGCCGCGGCCGCGCCGCCTGGCCTGGATGAAGAGGCGCTGCCAGGCAGCGGCAGCGCGGGGCGGGGCCAGCCTCGCGGCCCGCGGGAGGAGGAGGAGGAGGAGGGCGACGAGGCGACGCGGAGGAGGAGGACAGGATGGCAGGATAGGGTAGGACGGCGCCCATCTGGGACAGGACAGGACAGGGTAGGATAGGCGACGAGGGGGATGATAGGATAGGGGAGGCGACGAGAAGGATGATCGGATAGGATGGGATCGGCTACGATAGGATAGGATAGGGTAGGATCGGATAGGGCAGGATAGGGTATGGTAGGGGGGATGGGATAGGATAGGACAGGCAAAAGGAGGATATGATAGTACAGGGCAGGGTAGGTTTGTATATTATTGGATAGGGTAGGCCGGGTAGGATAGGATCGGATAGGATGAGGATCGAATCGGGTATGATAGGGTAGCGCGGGAGGATGCTATACTATGACATGATAGCACAGGGCATGATAGGAGAGGATATGATGGGAAATGATCGGGTATGGTAGGACCGGGTAATATATGGTATGGCAGGAACGGAGGATGATAGGACATGCTATGATCTGATCGGATAGGCTATGGTAGCCTAGGATGGGCGGGGGAATAGGGTAGGATAGGGTATTGCAGGGTAGGATCGGATATGCAATGATAGGATAGGATAGGAAAGCATGGGAATAGGATATGATAGGATCGGATGCCATATGATATGGTAGGGTAGGCTCCAGGGTAGGATAGGACGAGGGCAGGGGGAGAATCTGACAGGATCGGATTGGATAGGGTAGGATCGGATTAGATAGGATTGGATAGGATAGGATAGGATATGATAGGATAGGATAGGATAGGAGGACAAGGGGAGGATAGGACAGGATAAAATAAGCGGCAGTCCTGAACTGTCCTCCTCTTCTTCCTCCCCTCGGCCCTCCCCCATCCCCCATGCCCTTCCCCTCGACCCTCCCCTCGACCCCCCCCCCCCCTCGACCCTTCCGTCTCTCGACCCTTCCGTTCGCCCTTCCCGTCCTTCTCCTCTCGACCCTCCCCCATCCCCTCGCGAGCCTCCGCCGAGTGGCGGTCACGGCGGCGGCGGCAGGCCGCCGCGGCGCGCGCGCGCGGGCGGGCGGCCAGCCGCGGGCGGCTGGCCGCTCGAGCCGCCACGCGCGGCGGCGGCGGGCGAGGCGAGGGGAGGGGCCCAGGACCCAAGGAGGAGGCGAGCGACGGGGACCAACCAGCAAGCGAGGGGGAGGGGGAGAAAACGGAGAACGGCGAGGAGGACGATGAGGAGGAGGAGCAGGACGAGGAGGAGGGCCGAGGACGAGGGCGAGGACGAGGAGGCCTAGGGAGAGAACGAGGGGGCCGAGGGGGCGGAGTCTGAGGAGGTGGAGGAAAATAAGGGAAAACGCGCTATGAATCCTGAACACAAGGAATATCACATACTACATCCTCCTCATCACCTCGCCCTCCTCCTCGACCATCCTCGTCCTCCCGCACCCTTGGCTGCAACCGATAGTGAAGGAACGTGGCTTTAACAATGGAGGACGAGATGGACAGGATCAAGTACGATAGGGAAGACAAGGCCGACTTCAATGACGAACACTACTTCGGAGGACCGTGCCACAAGATGGCCACCCAGAGCTGCAAGGCCAAGAGAATCAGTCATAGTACATGTCACGTGGAGAGGAATGCAGGCTACACAGTCAACCAGTACGCTCAGTTCATCAGGATGAGGTTCACAGAAGTCATGAGAAGCTCGCAGTATCAACGCAAGCCTCGGGGCGTTCTTGAGTACTCCGGCTCGGGCGAGATGGAGATGGTGACCGGCCATTACACATATTGCCTGGATTGCTGGCAACTTTGCTGCGGAGTGAAAGGAGTACCGAGCGATAAGAACAGCAGACCCTCTATCTTGTCAATATATCAGAGTAGCGTCAGCGATAAGAACAGCGAGAAGAAAGTTTGACGGGACGCATCAGATATTTCATCCACTGTCCGACTCACAACGTGATATGCGACGCGCTCGCGAAGACCTGCGTTTTCTTTCAAATCATGAGATTCGTCAGTATTGGAGCCTGAACGAACCAAAGCATCCAGGGCAAGCAGTTCACGGCCAGGAGAGGTATGAACAAGAAGACGGAGTGCACAGAACGGGATCTTTTTAGTTTGGAGGTTTGACTTTGCCTGCCGCCTACCCCTTACTTCGTTTTATATATATATATAAATAAAAATAATATCTCTCTTTCTCTCTCTCTCTCTCTCTCTCTCTCTCTCTCTATATATATATGTATATATATATATCTCTTCCTTGCTCGATTAAGATATCGCGCAGGCGCGCGTGTAACAATATGCGTGTGCATGTATATATATAGAGATATCGAGATTTGTATACGTATGTATATATATATATGTATGTGTATATATGTATGCATATATACATACATACATACATGCATATATATGGGTGCTAGGACTGCTGCCACTTTGAACTCTAGTTAGACCCGAGAATTCGCCCGGGAAATTATCAGAGCATAAAATTCGGAAACACAAGCCGGAGCGAAGATTCGGGTTCAGTGCGAGTAGGGTCAGAGACAGAGATGCAGCATGATCCGGCACCACCGGCTCAGGGATGAGAAGGATCTTTGCTCCTTTTCCCTCCTCCTTCTCCTCTCCCCCCCCCGTCGCGCTCCGCGGCCGCTCCTCGCATTTTTGCAGCCGGCGCAGGCGCGCCCAAAAGCGCGGGGAATTCAATGGGCAGACGGAGTCATACATATGCCTGCCAGCACGCATTTTCTCTGCCAGCTTGCAGCTGACACGCGCGATCGGCGCCCTTGCCGCGCGCGCGCCAGCAACCCTAGTCATGAACCACGGGTAGTCCTCTGGCTGGCAACGCCAGGCGCGCTCCGGGTTGGGGGGGGGGGGGGGTCTGCCTCAGGAGGTGCCGGACAGCAATTGCGCTCGTTCACTTTCGACCATTTCTTCTTCCCGGTGTCTAAGACATGCCTGGCCGACGCCCGGTCGCGCATTCCCGGGCTAGCTGGTTGCGCGCGGCGGCGAGCGCCTTGGTCTCGGCTGCTTTCGCCGTTTTTTTCGACAGCTCGGGAAAATCAACGCGCGGTGCATCTTTGTCCACGACAAACATGCTAAAATTCAACGTGGGACTGCAATGCTCCAAGCCACGATCCCTATATGTGCCCTGGATTATCTCTCCAAGCTCGCACTACTCTGGCTGACCTGGCGCCGCGCCCCTGCTCGCGCGCGATTTCGCAAGGCAGGTTGGCTACTGAATGGGCTGTGATCCCGACGTCCACGCAGCGCGTCGCGTCCAATGCTAAGGATCGCACGGCGACGCCCCAGATCGAACGCAACGGGCTTGTGGCTCTGCAGTCGCGCTCGTGGAATTTCCAGAATGGTTCTGGGGAAGGGGCCCCAGAGCAAACCGCGCCGCCACCCCGCCCCGCGCCCCCGCGCCCTCTCATCGTCGCTTTTGATGCATTGGCAGAGCCAGCATGGCGAACCTTCAGCTGGGCGCTGCGCTTGCAGGTGTGCCGCGTAGTGCTCCGAGTCCCCGAGTGCGGCGTATGCGATAGTTTCGAAAGGCTTACCGGCCGAATGCGACCGCTGCCTTGCAACCCTGGAACGTTCTGAGTCCACCGGGCCACCATTCCAATGCGACGCCCCCGTCCTGCCGAGGGCCCAGCTGATTGAACCGACATCCCTCGCTCGCGCCCCCCCCCCCCTCGCCCCGACGCCCCTCCCCCCCCCCCCAACCCCCCCCGCCCCCTGTCTCTGCGCGGCCGCGCGGGGGCGCGGGCGGCAGTCCAGCGCGAGGCGTCGGGGGCGAGGGGGGAGCGGGGTCACGGGGGAGATTGCGAACGCGAGGCGAAAGCGCCGAAACCGACGGCGATGCGCGCAGGGGAAGGGGGGGGAGAAAGGAAGAGGAGTAGGGGCTAGAGGAGCAGGAGGACGCGAGGAGGAGGGGGAGGAGGCGAGGAGGGGGAGGAGGAGACCACGGAGATGCGACAATGCAGTTGGCGCGTGCTCATTGGGTGGGCGAAGCCTGGTTCATCGGAATCAAACCCCTCAT